GGAACGCTTGTAATAAGGTAAGATTTTACTAAATTAAATATTATTACTTTCTTTAATATGTTTTTTGGTTTATTTTTTTTTGGTTTTTTTTTTTTTAAATTCAGACTTTCTTTTTTACCAACTAAATATAAGAAAAAACTGCTGCTGCTAAGACGAATTCTTCTTGTGCTTGTGCTGTTCAAATATTGTTTTGTATGAAGATGGTTATAGGGCTTGGATTGGTGGTGAAAACAATAGTGTGTATGTATTGGATGAAAACAGTTGATTAGTTAAGGTTTGTGGATTTTGAATTCGAGAACGAGATTTGTTTGGCCAAACGCAGGAGCACGGTAATTTGACAACGAAAGAGAAAATAAAGGGAATTAAAGAAGAGAAGAACTGAGGGTAAAGAGGATACCAATTTTATTCATATAATCAAGGGTATCTATAACAATGAATAAGTCATTTATACATGGAGCAAGAAATTAAAATTAAACGAATATCTAATAAATTAGAACTTTATCTAATTATTAAATCTAATTTAATCCAGACAAACCTAATTTAAATTCATCTCTATATGAAAATCATATTGAACTTCTATATCTATCTTTATCATTATCTTTATCTCTATTTGTATCTTTATCTGTATTTCCATCAGGAGGAGGGAAGGGATTTCTTTGTAAGTTGTTGCTCTAGTAAATAACTATAAATATATTCAATACCTACACATTAATGTAGTTACTTACATATGCTATAGTTTGTATATATATGGTTCCATGTTTTTTCTAATTAAGTTTATAATGCATTTTTGAACAATTTATCAGTTATCAATAATAATGAATTTTTAATATTTATTCACTGTTACTTTTGCTTTTGATGGATTTGAAGTAGATGATTTGGAATCTTTATAGTCATAACAGCCCCCAAATTCTGAGAGACGGAAAAAGTTGTATGGTGTAGCAGTTCAAATCTTTGGCGTAAAATGGGAGAGTATAACTGTTTGACCTTTAGCCTTCTCTCAAGTTTCTTTCAATATTGGTTCGGCTTGTATGTGCTTGTTGGTCTTACTATTCTTACTTAACATGGAAGCTACTTAAGATTTTGAAATGTTATTGAAATTTGTATTGGTTCATTGCAGGATGGGTAGGTTGCATACTTGACACAAGTTATACTATTTTCATGCATGTTGCAAATGATGATCAGATACCAGGAAACACAAAGGCTTTTTACATAAATATTTATTATTTTACACCGAGATCTAAATCACAAATTCTATGCACTTTTGGAATTTTACAGTCACTTCGTCCCAAATCTTACCTTGGTGCTCTTGTTATTGAGAGTCTGAGAAAGCACACAAAGTAAACATTTCGTACTTCCTCGAGTTACAAACATGTATCATTTACAACGTGTTTGGCATTCAATATTGGAGAAAATTGGACAGTAAAATGAACAAAAACTATAGCTTCTTTTTGTTCTTTAGTACAATCCAGTGTTATCCAATCCTCCCTACCAAACATGCTATTTCTTGGTTTTTTGTTATTGAAAAGAGTATAAATGTTTCTTCAGGGCATATTTGGATTGCCATCTCATGGTCACAAATCCTCTTGATTACGTTGAACCATTAGGGAAAGCAGGTGCTTCAGGTTTTACTTTTCACATTGAAGCTGCAAAAGGTAAATTGGTTGTATGGTCTTTTCCTTTTTTAGCTTCCTTTTCACACCATGTGGCGCGCATCCACCGGTAGTATACAATTTTTGAATTTTCCACACTTCACATCTAAGGGCGGATTTCTTCCACATGGGGCTATATAATCCATTATGTACAATAATTATGTACATATAGATTTATCCATTTATGTTAGGCAATGACATTACCAATGTGAAACCATGTTTTAGATTGTAAATTATCATTGCTTTGAATGTCGTGCTCAGCCCACCGCTCATACGAATCTTTGCAGATAATTGGAAAGAACTCGTGCAACTGATCAAGTCAAAGGGCATGACACCTGGTGTTTCTCTGAAACCTAGAACGCCAATTGAAGACGTGTATCCACTTGTAAGTTGTTCCCTCTTTTTGTGGGATTTTTTTGTATGGAAATTACATCAATCCATACTTTAATTATTCAACATTCTAAAATCAGGTGCAAAGTTTAATCTTTCAAAAATCAGATATTTTATTTTAATTAATAATTTTATAAAAGAAATTTTTTTACTAAATATAATTAAACCTAACCCTAATCACTTTAGATATTATTTTCTCTCTCCATCCCTCACTCATCTCTCAATACTGTCAAGGCGTCACTTATCTCTCTCACGAACACTGCCACCGCCGCTATGAAGAGCTACCACCACCGCCGGACAAGACGCCACCACATCCCGCCCTCACTCATCTCCCTCACAAAGAACACGGCTACCCTAACTCATCTCCCTCACGAAGAACACTGTCGTCACCGCTATGAAGAACACTATCGTCGCCACATCTACTTGTTCGTCCACTTCGGTGAGTGTAGTACTTCCCCTTTCCCTCACAGTGGCAGGCCGTTTTGCCTCCACAATATCCTTCTCAAAGTGCCCAAACTCTGATTTCACACTTGCCAACTTTCTTATCTTCACCGAAAGTCTTGCCTGAATCTTCCTCGAAGCTGGCTCGGTATCGACTTGGTTCTGATAAATTGACCGCCTGCCAGTTTACTGTATACTTTTATAGTGATGTCAACGGTGGTGGTGGCGGTGAGCGGCGTCACTGACGGTGGTGCGGTGCT